GAGGTTTGCTGAACAGGATGATTTTCCTTTTTATGAAGTACAACTGAAGCATCTTCTGCAGCATACACTTTAAACACTGCAAAACAGATATGTGTAAAAGTCATTTAAAATGAGTTTCACCAGAAATTAGATTGTTATAATAGCAAGGGATTGGAATATTCACACATCAAACTCTTCTATTTGGAATGTTCCTATTTCCCTAGGAATTTTGCCTTCCCCTTTCCTGTAGCTGCCATGCCTAAGCTATATATCTGAGAGGTCCCACCCCAGATATGCCCCTTAATATATGAGTCATTCCTATTACTGGCTTGGTCATGAGTCAGCAAGGACTTTAAAAATAACTGGCTAAATTGTTTTAAATTGGAATCATACAGCTCTGTAGAAGTTACTGAATTGTAACCAGATGAAACCTAGAATATGTGTAGTCAAGAAACATCAGAATGGGTTTAAGATGGCAATAGTAATGATGAAGAGAGCGAGAAACTAGGGGAAACAACAGCTATTTGTTTTTGCCTGAATCAACTGGGAACTAACTGAAATTAACCAAGGATAAAAGTGAAGGCCGGAGGAGGAGAGGGGAAACTGGGACATTTAAGAAGTTTGTTGGGACAGGTGCATTTTTAAGTGTAACTCCAGCCATGTGTGTGTGTGTGTGTGTGTGTGTGTGTGTGTCATTGTTTTGTGGTCAGTACCCTTGTTCAGAAGATTTCTCCACACTTTCTGTGATAATTTGATTTTGAAAAACAAAACAAAACAAAACAAGGATTGGGGATAAAGCTTCAATGGAGACAACTTTTCCCCATGAGAACTCTTTCAGGAGTGATTTTTCCTTTTTAGGGGTAGATTTCTCTTGCTCCCTGTTGTCTCACTCCCTTTCTTAATTGTGGGTTTTTGTAAGTTGGATATTTGTAGAAAAATGGGATAAATGAGGACTAATTCAGAAAGTATCAAATAAGGGCAGTTGGAGAACATAGATACATGATTCAATTACAAGAGAACGTATTATTATTATTATTATTATTATTATTATTTTACAATATAGTGCCTTTTTACAGCAGTTGTGTTTCAAATTATTGTGAATCACAGTTAGATGGGTGTTAGAATATTTTATGTAGATTGCACCATAGACAGACACTCTTAAAACATACTGGCAATTGATTTTTAATAAACCTTTACACTGGAGTGTTATTCAATAACATTTTCCAGAGAAGTCAAATGTTATTGTTTTTCATTCATTCAGTCGTCTCTCCGTGACCTCATGGACCAGCCCACGCCAGAGTTCCCTGTCGGCCGTCACCACTCCCAGCTCCTTCAAGGTCAGTCCAGTCACTTCAAGGATGCCATCCATCCATCTTGCCCTTGGGCGGCCCCTCTTCCTTTTGCCATCCACTTTCCCCAGCATAATTGTCTTCTCCAGGCTTTGCTGTCTCCTCATGATGTGGCCAAATACTTCAGCTTTGTCTCTAGTATCCTTCCCTCCAGTGAGCAGCCGGGCTTTATTTCCTGGAGGATGGACTGGTTGGCTCTTCTCGCAGTCCAAGACATTCTCAGAACTTTCCTCCAACACCACAGAAGTCAAATATCAATGTACAATTTAATCAGCAGCCAGATTCTGAAAACTGCCACCCCAGGGAGAAGCAGCCAGATTACTTACAACTGCCAATATAAAAACTGTTAGAGGTTGAAATGTCAACATAGTATTATTTTCACCATCTCAATCTTTTTTGGTGACCATATTTGCCTTTCCAAACAAAAAAGAAACATAAAATGGAAAATCTGCATATATAGAAACATGTTTGGAAATAATTGCTGTAAATAAAATGGATTATCTGTCTATCTATCTCAATCAAAATCTGACTGTCTTTACCACAAAGGCTGTTGCTAGTTGAAGTGGCCCTCTGTGATGTCACTGGGAAAGAAAAGAAGGAAGGAAAAGAGAGGGAGGAAGAGAGTGATAATGTTGGGTAGGTTTAGCCTTGTGAAGAGATGTTTAACAGGTGGTACCAGCTGCATATCTAAGGTTGTTAATGTTTCTTCCAGCAATTTTAACTCCAGCCTTGGATTTGTCAAGCCCAAGCCCTGCATGTCACATGATCTGTTCTGCATACAAGTTGAATAGGTAGGGTGAGAGTATACAGCCTTGCCATGCTCCTTTCCCTATCTTGAACCAGTCTTTTGTTCTGTGGTCTGTTCTTACTGTTGCTACTTGATTGTTATACAGATTCCTCAGGAAACAGACAAGGTGACTTGGTATCCCCATACCATCAAGAACTTGGCACATGTTTATTATGATCCACACAAAGGCTTTAGAATAGCTTTATGATTCTACAATTAGTTATTCCATGGAACTTCAGTTGGGGCAGTGAGTAGGGACTTTATTTTACCAAACTGTGAAATAGTAATGTTCCTCATTCTCCTCTGAGACCTCTGTTACACTCCCATGTTGCAGCTCCTTCCTTCCTTCTTTCCTCGCTTCCTTTTTTCTTTCTTTCCAGCTGATATGGTGATGTATCGCTTCTTTTAATTCTTGTGTGAAAAAATGAACTCACATTGGATTTTAAGAATGTGGCTTGTGTATTGTGTCTATAGGAAGTGGTATAGGTGGAAACTACCCTTTCCCATGCATTATTCCATGCCCAAACACCACCAACAACAATTAAAAGCAATTAAACAGTATAGGCTATTAATTCCTTGTCTCCAGGCCCTCACAGGCCATTCATTTGGTCAGGATCTTTATACTGCACTGTCTTCATAATAATATTCTTTTTATTTCTAGGGGTCCACCATTCTACTACTGGTTGCTCTTACTGATGACAGATACATACTAGATTGAGCACCTTCAATATCAAACTCTAAGAGGGGACATGATAGCTATGTTTAAGTATTTGAAAAGATGTCGCATTGAGGAAGAGGTTTCCCATGCGCTAATTCAGTGAGCAGATATATTTTTAAAAGAAACCCAGAAAGGCATGAAATGCTGTAATAAGACAATTCCCCACTCTTTCTGCCCCAAATGGGATGAGGTCCCATGACAGTTAAAGTGAAGCAGAACTATACTTGTGTAATGATGATGCCCCCCTCCCCATTGCTTCATGAGGGCCAACTCTCCCTTGAATTAAGAGAAAACAAAAGGAAGCTCTCTGTAAGCAAAAGTCACTATAGGAGAGGCTAAAAACCACAAACAATTCCTCTATGGATTTTTCTAGCTTGCACTTGTTTGTAAGTATACAAGGAACATTTAATTAATGTGTCCCTACACACCTTCTTATATAGTATATTCCATTCTACCTTATTTTTCCAAAAAATTAGAACATATCTGTAGCATTCAGAAACCATTCCTATGCTGAATTGGGAGAAAACACAAGAATCATTTTCAAATGCTCTGCTACATCTATGATTCTTTTTTTAAAAAAAACTCACATTTCAACAGTTGTATTCATGGATCGCACACCTTCAACACATCTGGTGCAGAACTTCCTGTTTTTGCATTTCATCTGCTGCAAAACTGAGAAGTTACTGAGACTGAAGACATACTAAATGGAGAAGAAGATGTTTGTGGTTCTCCTAAGACCTTTGTTTCATTCTTTCAAATGTTGAGACAGGAAAATAAAGCAGTTTTATATAAAATGTAACCTTTGTCAGTGATGCAGATATGTGTGTAGATGAGATGTGATTGCAATGTTACTCATTTCTTAATTTGTTTTTCCTCCTCTTGCATAATCATATATTAAACCACTTATATAATTCTATTTCCTAAGCCACTAAAAATAAATGCACTGTATGTGAGATGAAAAACTGGTCTAACAATGATGTTTTTGGATCACTTTATTGTGTTACAGCTCAGGTCCAGGTTGTTTGGAGGATCATCTCTCCCTTTATGAGATTTCTATGAGTGAATCTACATTGTAGAATTATAGTTTGACACTACTTTAAGTATCATTGCTCAATCCTATGAAATCCTATAATTTGTAGTTTGGTGAGGCAACATTATGCTTTGACAGATATAAAACTACAACTCCCACATTTCCATAGCACTGAGCCATGACAGTTAAATAAAATTTGAAAAATGTTTACAATATGTAATAAATGCCGTAAGAATTGTATAAGCTCAAAAATGTAAGGAACCAGTTGTCCCAATGCAAGAAGAATGGCTGATAAAGATCTGTGAATAAGCCAATAGGGAAATTTTTTATTGTGCTGGTTAAAGGAGAAATCTTTGACTAACTGGGACTTGTTCATCATCTTTTCACATAAATGATGGGGGCATTTGTCAAGTGTATGATTTATGAATTAGTAGAGTGTTGCCTAAGGTAGAAGGGTGACTAAAGGTAGAAAGGAGAACACTAACAATGGATATTAATGATCAGATAGACAATGAGAAATTTGTAGATCTGTTGTTTATTTAGTTTGCATAATCTTGTAGTAGTAAATTGTGTGTATGGTATGTCTACATTGTTGAATTAATAATAATATAAAACCTTATTTATATCCTGCACCTATCTCTCCGAGGGTCTTGGGGTGGTTTCCAACCGAAGAATGGCAAACATTCAATGCCATCATAAACCAACAGAAACAAATAAATAATCCAACCAAATACCAGAGATAAATCCACATATAACACAAAATTATATCACATAATCAAAATTAAATATTAATATAACCGAATGATTACTTCACATCTAATATAAAACACAACACAAATCTAGCCAAATCTAAAATTACATTTCAAAATTATTAAAATATTATGCAGGCAACAAAGTCAGGGTGACAGACTTTTAATGTAGTTTAAGATCACATTAACTGCCATGGCTCAATGCAATGGGATTCTGGGAACTGAAGTTTTAAAAGCTCATTACCCTTCTCCTCCAAAGAGTACAGGTGCCTTACCAACCTACAACTCCCAGGTTTCCTTTGCATTAAGTCATGGCATTTAAAGTGGTGTCAAAGTACATTAATTCTGCAGTGTAGATGCACCTTTAGTAAGAGACAAACAATGTAAATGAGTTTTCTTAAGGACTGTTTATTGAATCAGAAGGAAATCAAAATATACAATTATGTAGAATTCAGGTGCTAGTTTAAATTATAATATTAGTTGTATTTTTATTTACTTTTACAGTAATGTACGTATCAGGATTTCAGACAAATATTTTTAAACTTGATCACATGTCCTTTATAAATCAGGCAAAAGGGTGTCCAGTCTTACAATCTGGTGCTTTTAAAACAAGAGATTAGGTTTGGATATAGACATTAACAAAAACAAAAGATTTCTGAAAAATTAAAGTTTTCCCTCTCCATACAATGCAACCCTATGCATATCTGGCCTTAAGTAAATCCCATTGCATTCATTATTTATGTCTGAAATGAAATTAACACAAAAGTAAATAGTTAGTACTGTGATATAAAGAGCTTCAGGTCTGCCCCCTTGTGTTGCATTCTTGTTAATACTTTAATTTTTTTTCTTTTTATAAAGCTAATTTCCTTGATTTTATCACATCAAGGCAGAACTAGATAAGAATTAATCTGTACAGTTCAGACTTTTCAATAATATTAATAACTTGAAAATCAACTTGAAGAATACTCTTGAAGGTTTATGATTCAATTTCCTTTGTACTTATAACCATGAACAATGAATCTTTAAAAAAAAATCAATGTCCAGGTTATTAAAAAGGCATTTCTATGGTTGTTTTAAAGCTTTATCCTTGTTATTTTACACTTACATCATGTTTTCCTACAAAGAAAATCCTTCTCAACATATGCATCTAACCATAGTTATATTTAACCTTCTCCCATTTGTATTCTGAAGTGAAATGAAATTCTAGATATGTTTGCTTAATCCTACTGTGTTCAATCCATCATACCTCTAAGTGTCTGTCTCTTTTAGGATTTTAGCCTTAGAGTGCTTTCTTAGTGATTAGAATGGCTCCCCACATCAGCTTTTCTAACACAATACATGCTTTTCTTCAACTATCATTATGCCCTATATTTGAATGAGCTATAATTAAGAGTCAGCAAGCAAACAAGGCATGAATTCTGATTGCAAACCATAGTTTGCAGAAGTCAGATGAATAAACCATGATTAAGGCTGCTTGGTCAATCTCTCTGCTTTCCAACAACCTCTATACAAATTGTCCAGTTTTGGACAATTGCTTTTGTCTTTATAAATTTTGGGACTATGAAAGTTATAAACTTTGGGACTATCAAAGCAGGGCTGTTCCTCATCACTTCAGTCTCTCCTCCGCTTGTGTGCAATCTTGGTTTTTCATTTCAAGCATGCATTAAATGAGAGTTTAATCAAGTGTATATTCAGTCTTGATAATTGACACTGAACTTTGTTGGAGTTTCCTGGTTCAGGCATAGCAAGAAAAGTTGGTTTAATACAAGCTGAGATGGCATGTAAGATACAGACTTAGTGATCTAAAAAAAGTAGCATTGCCAAGTTTTGTTTCTTTTCCAAACTGAACCTAAAATTGACAATACCATACCAATCTCAGTCAAAGGTATATACAAACCTACTTCAGCTTCTCTCTAATCTAGTGGCATTTTAAGAAACATAGGGCAGGGATTTCATATCAGAAGGATTTAGGGGACACAGTTGATTCATCTCCTCACCCCTTAGAGTATAATCTTATGTTTTTTCCACCAACCTATAAGCTATCCAATAGCATACTAACCACCTTATCTTCTGTTTTAATAGCCTACCCATTATGCCTTTCTGACTTGCTGTTAGTTATGGGCTAACCTTTACATTAAAAATATTTAAAATGTTCATAATTCTTTGCTTCAGGCATGCCACTTGTTTTGCTTATCTGGAAATAGCAATTGGAAGTAGGAGGATGGGCAGATGGGTGGGTAGGAGCAAGACATGATCCAAAACAAGTCATTTTTTTGAACTGCAAGGAGACAAATGATGATGATCCAATGATTCTTAAGCTACTTCAGCATATTCATTACTTCGGTTTCACAAAGGGCACAATAGACACTGGATCTGTTTGTACTTGTGCATCAGACATCCGTTTGGGGCTCTGGAAAAAGAAACAGAAAGAAAGAGAGATATTTAAATATTCATGAAGGTGCTTAGACAATGTTTGATTCACACACAGGCATTTTGTATTCATGTTCAATCTGTATTTGTAGGCCTCTTTCTACAGATATGAAATAAGATTAGCAAGAGTGTTGCATACATTTCACACTAAAATTAATCCTTAGCATTCTATGCTAAGAATGACTTGTAAAATATGCAAATGCTTCTTGGTTTTTAATATTTTTCTTGGTCTTATTAGTTATTAAAATCTCACACCCAAGTCACAAGAATTGACACCATTCTCACTTAAAGACTATCTTTTTCCTTATATGCATAAGGACTATGAAATTGTATAAATAAAAGCTGAGAATCTGTACCATTCTCAAGCTCTGCACTTTTTCTCTACTTATGCAGAATTACAGAATATGGATTGCCCTGTGACCATTACATTTAATAGCTCATGGTACAACCCCATTTTCTAAGGGTCAGAAGACATATCTTTTTTCATTTCATGCTCTTCATACAATTATCTTTATCCTGTCAGAATTTTCCCTTAAGAGCTCATGTAACTGAGCACAGGAAGGTGGGCAGAATACTGTAAGAAGTTTATCCACTTCTAATGCATCATCATTCTTCACAGTTCTTGTGGATACTACTTCAACAGCAATTGTTTAAGCTTTAAAGAAAATCTAAGTTTACAGATTGTTACCAAGACATTTCTTGAGCTTTTTTTCCTTTCTTTTTCTTATGGCTGGGAGTTCCATTGGATCTTTCTAGTATGCTTTAATCTAGTGTCCAGTACTTAAATGATTTATAAACACACATGCACACATACAAACCCAAGCCCTGCCCGAAGGTTCACAATCTAAAAGAGATAACACACATGTAAAGGTAGTTGGAAAGGAAAAGAAGTGAGATGAAAAAATGCTGAACAAATCTTATTAAACATGCAGTCAGATTCACAAACCAAGACACATTACACAAAACCGTTTTCAAACTAATGTAATCATTTTTCTAGCAGTAATGTTTTCCTTACTTACAGACATACTGAAATGAACGAAATACTTTGCAGAACTATTTTTTAGCCCAAACGAAACAGAAGAACTTTGCATTTTTAGCGGCTGCTGGGATGTAGAAGTCTATATTTAGCTTCAGTTAAACCTCTCATATTGATTAAGACACTATCAATTTTCTAGTAATCTACCTTTCTTTTATAGATAGTACATTGTTTTGTGCCTTCAAGTAATTTTCAATGTATGGTGACACTATCATGCAATTTTCTGGGGCTGAGAGTGTGACTCGCACAATGTCAATAGTGTGTTTCTATGGCTGAGTGGAGAATCCAACTCTGGTCTCCATAGTTGTTAATACTCAAAACACTATTTTACAATTGTGATAATTTTCTTTTTGTTATAGAAACACGTTTAATTATAAGCCATGATGTTCTTTAGCAATGTCTGTTGACAGTAGCCAAATGATAACTGACAAAGAATACTGTATTAAAAATAAAATAAATTAGTGCCTGCAACAGTAGAGTGGTAGACACATGGATAGCCCCAAGGTCTTGTCCTGATTTGCACTTGCAGAGGAAGGAACTGGCAAAACCACCTCTGTGTTTTGCCCTATAAAATTCATGGAGTCACCATAAATCAGACAGGCAATTTGAAGGCACCCATACTTTTTTTATGCAAACTATTTTACTTCGTCCCACAGCAAGGAGGACAGTTAGGAGGGTCTATTTTCAACCCTTGAAGCTGACCTGGTCCTCAACAAATGCAGCCAAATGGCCGAGGGTTGGACTGAATGGCACTTGTGGTATTGTCTATGATTCTGTGAAATACATTTGCAAATCCCAGTTGCAAATTTCTGGCATACATCTAATGCCCTGGAAGCAAACACTGAAGCTAATCCCATTCTGCTCATACATGATAAGATGCCACAGGTGGCAACTATGGCAAGGTCTTTAAAGAAAGATGAAACATAACGTACAAGACCCTTAAAAAACCCTCCGAAGGACTGTCTCTTCTCTATCCTCTTAGGGGTGTTTTCCTTTGCAGTATCCCCTCCATTTTGAAAGGAGGCTGTCTCCACTGTTTCTTGTTCCACAACATCTTGCAGGTCTTTGACTTCCTGCTTGTCGCCTTCCTGCTTACTCAGGGTCTCTGTTGAACTTGCTTGGCTTCTCTCGTCCAGGACGGGTTCTCTGTTCTCAGCCTGAGTCAAGGACCTGTCTGTGAAGTCTAAGGTCTAAAGCAGTTTCAAACAGTAGTTATTTGGGTCATTGTTGTGCAAAATAAGAAATGCATTTGATTTGGCAGGAAATTCCCCATAAATCAAGTAAAATTATCTCCCCACCCTCTTCATAGGCTCAGCTAGACTTTAGGAAAGTTGTTTTTTTTTAGACTACAACTACAAAAATGCTCTATTCAGTTGTAATCCAAACAAGTAAATTCTCCCAAATGTTGGCTTCTCCACACCAAATGGTGGAAAAACGAACACTATTCATATTAGTGTTGACTTCCTTGGTATGTGGGCCAAGGGGGTACTGTTCAACATATTAACAAAGATTTTAACTCTGTCACTCTCATAGACATGAGTATCCTTTTTGACAATTATAAGGTTACTCTTGTGAATGAAAAAGTATAATTATTTGCATAGCATTTCCTTTTTTTTCTTTTAAAGAGCACTTTTTACACAACAAAAATATTATTTATGACCATAGGAAAGGCATTTTTACACAAGGCTTTGTCCAAATGGCTCCTTTATTGGCAATGGACTGTGCCACTTTAGCATTCCCAAACCACATATTCTAGCATATATTAGAACATTCAGTGCTTGGAAACAAGTTAAAATCAGCTTGTTTGTCTGAGCATGTATGATCACAGGATTGTTATTTTCTATATCTGTACACTTGATGTTGAAATTGTTAAAAATAACCATTTACCCTATTCCATTCTGACATCCGCCAACATTAGGCAGATAAGAATTCCATTTATAAGTAGTCAAATAAATAAATAGATAGATAACATCCAGTCTGGAGCCCAGAAAGTTGCCATTTGAACACAGTCCTAGAGAAAGAAAATGTTTACATGCATGCATGCAACAACATCAGCACTACAACAAACCAGAAACAATATTCTCATCACAAGCCATGCAGTATGAAACTAAAAGAAATACAAAGTGAAATATTTGAAAGATTAAGAGATAACCTACACCAAAAAACAGAAAGGAAACGTTGTGAGAACAAATAGTGTAATATTACAAAAATCTACCAGCAAACAGACAAGGCATGCTTTTGATCAAGTAAATCCAATGCCACAGAAAGTTCTACATAGAAGTGCAAATGGGAAAACATGGCTTCTTTTTTCATATTTTTTTTTTTCAAATGAGCAACAATTACAAGGCAGGTCACTATGACAGAGAGATAAGAAGAACAAGATATTTTCAAGGCTTAACATTCAAGAGAATTTACAAGTACAGAGAAATGGAACCAAATGACACTGTTCGTTGCAGTTGCTGCAGTTCCAAATTTAAACATTCATTAGATTTTTCAGTTTTGAGGAATTCAACTCTAAAGCAAGAAGAAAATGGCATGAAATTTTCATAGTTGCTGAATTTTTCAAGCCTTAGTTGATTTCTTGTTGCAACTTAAAAATTCTCTCCAGGAGTCTATTTATATGGTTAGCTTCTTCCTTTCATATCAGTTACTATAACACAGGACTCATGGCTTAAACATTTGGATCTTGCCATTATATGCAAGGGATGCAATTTAACGTATGCCATTTTATTTAAATGCGACTTGAGCATCAAAAGCATGCTGTATGAATGTCCTTCTGGTCAGTCAGGAGGCCAATCAAGGTATAGGGTGGTAACCTGTGCTCAATGGAGTTACACTCCCCTTAAGCACAGGTTTGCAATTTGGGGGTCCTCCTGGACTCAGCACTAACCCTGTAAGCCCAGGTCTTGGTGGTGGCCCTGGAAGGCCTTTACATAGTTAAAGCTTGTGTGACAACTGAGCCCATACCTCGAAAAGCCTGATATTCCAGAAGGAACTGAAAACCTGGTTTATAAACAGGCTTTTGATAATGGTTAAACAGAATAATGCACAACTGTTGGAGGATTGAAATGGAATTAAATTTCTTAACTGGACTTCACTGGTTCCATCAACCAAAGCAGTGGCTGGCTGAGATATTTTAATTGCTTTTATATAATACAATCCCTGTTTATTAATGGATGATGAGTGTTAATTTAATATGATTTGGTTCACTTGTATCAAAGCTGGGTTGCAGCTAAACATAAAAAAAAAACCAAGATTATGGCAACAAGAATGATTGACAACTGGAAAATAGAGGGAAAAAATGTGGAGGCCGTGACAGACTTTGTATTTCTAGGTGCAAAGATTACTGCAGATGCAGACTGTGGCCAGGAAATCAGAAGACGCTTACTTCTTGGGAGGAGAGCAATGCCCAGTCTCGATAAAATAGTAAAGAGTAGAGACATCAGACTGGCAACAAAGATCCATTGCCTAGTCAAAGCCATGGTATTCCCTGTAGTCACCTACGGATGTGAGAGCTGGACCTTAGGGAAGGCTGAGCGAAGGAAGATCGATGCTTTTGAGCTGTGGTGTTGGAGGAAAGTTCTGAGAGTGCCTTGGACTGCGAGAAGATCCAACCAGTCCATCCTCCAAGAAATAAAGCCCGACTGCTCACTGGAGGGAAAGATACTAGAGACAAAGTTGAAGTACTTTGGCCACATCATGGAGACAGCAAAGCCTAGAGAAGACAATTATGCTGGGGAAAGTGGAAGGTAAAAGGAAGAGGGGCGACCAAGGGCAAGATGGATGGATGGCATCCTTGAAGTGACTGGACTGACCTTGAAGGAGCTGGGGGTGGTGATAGCCGACAGGGAGCTCTGGCGTGGACTGGTCCATGAGGTCACGAAGAGTCGGAGACGACTGAACGAATGAACAACAACAACAACAATTTGTTTTACTATTGTTTATTGTTGTATTTTTCACATTGCTGAAAGCCACTCAAAGTCCCCTTGGTGAGATGGGGTGGGATACAAATAAAGAATGTTGTTGTTGTTGTTATTATTATTATTATTATTATTATTATTATTATTATTATTATGTGTCTGTACGTATACATACACATATTCAACATGCCTTTGGTATCTGCTGTAATTTGGTATCCCTTCATGGATACCAAAATCTGTGGATGCTCAAGTCCCATTATATACAATGTCACAGTTAAATGATTTCTCTAGTATAATATGGCAAAATCAAGATTTACTTTTGCAAATTTTATTCTTTGAGAATATTTTCAAGCTGTGGTTTGTTGAATCTTAAAATGCAGAATCCATGGCTACAGAAGGCTGATGACATTTGGTTCCAAAGGACTTGTTAAACAGCAACAATGTAACATTGCCACTTGAAATGCAAAGATTATTAAAGAACAAAGACAGGATGGAAAACAACATGCCACAGAATGACCATGAAAATGACAGTGCCTCATAGGAATCATTTGAAGTAATAATGCAAGGTGAAACTTCAGAGCTTCATTTCAGTTGAACCCATCACCAAGGAAAGTGGGAATGATCCCATGCACTTACTTGGCGATCAGGTGCTTGCTCATTTACCTCTTCTGAAGGAACTACCTTTGCATCACTTTTGATTGACTAAAACAACAAGGGATTATATGCATTTCTCTTGTGCTGTTGCCACGATTAAAACTTCCTAAGTGATGCCTGTTAGTCCCTCTTTTTATCTCTTTTTTGAAATTGCTAACAAGGTCAGGCAAAAAGCATACTTTTTCTCCCACTTTAAATGATGGGAACGGTTTTCAAGCTAGGAAGCTATTTGAAGAATTCCCCGGCTAGGAGGACTGCAGCAGTTTGCCTTTGCCTGAGCTTACTGGGAAGGGCAAGATATTGCCTCCTCCTTTTCTTTCCCTCCCGAACAGTTGAGTGCAAATACTTTTTGCACTTTGAACTTCTTTTCTAGCACATGACATAAACTTAAGGCAGAGCAACAAAGTGAAAGGAGGAGAAAAATGGGATGTTCGCAAACCTGCTAAAAATAGAATAACAGTGGATTGATTGGGACTCTCCCTGTCAAACTGGGAAAGTTGGGTCATATGTTCTGCATATAACTGGAAAAGCCATTAGCCTCCAGTGAATGGCAATTATAATGCTCAAAGGAGGAAAGCTATTTTGAAAAGTGTCTGCCCATGTTACAAACAGCTTGTAGTTCTTACCAATTTGAAGAATTTCCTCAAATTTGTTTTGGGAGTCTTCTCTTCTCCTTTGGACTTTGTTTCTGCAGCTTCCTGACTTCTGTTTTCCTCTTTAGCTGGGACTACAGGAGATGCTTCAATTTTTTCTGTGTTTATCACCTCAATGTCATCTGTTGGTGTCTGTAAAATATTCAGAACAAAAGTTAACAAATTAAATGTTTAGTCTTTAAGAGAAGATCATAATACTGTAATTGGAGATAATAGCTAACTGTATATATGTGACAGAAATATACAATGCAATAATAACCCTGTAATGTAACATCAAATGGCAGAAAGGGGAACACTGGAAGATGTAATGCAATGAAATGAGATATCCAATATTTTAACAGAGCTACTAAATATAAAGCACACTATATTCATTTAAATAGTAGGAGTTAAATAAAGTCCTTTAAAACATTTAAAATAGCAAATATTGATGCTGTATGCTTTATAGATCTTTGATGGCATGTTGCCACAAGCAGCTACTTTAACCATCTTGCTTCTCTTGTTACCTGGCCAGTATTAATATTCACTCCTCCAAATCAGACATGCAGTCACCACTTATTTAGCTGCAGGTGTTGGTTCTCTTCCCAAAGCTGGATCAATCTTTAATAATACAGCAAAAAACTGTCTTTCATGACTTCATGTTTAAAAAATAGCACAGGGTAGGTTTATATTACAGCTATGCTGCTACAGCTGCAGCCCAAATGTGTTTTGTCTCTCACACTATACTCATGCAAGGGATTTAACTTAATTTATGATTAATTACTGCATCCTGGTGATAAATATGGGCACCACAGCATTCACAGAAACATCAGGGTATTCTGTTACCTATGAAATTTAATGGACTATTCCTAGATTTGCCAAAGCAATCAACATCATCATGACCACTATCACCATCATAATGGAAATTAAAATGAAATTGCCTCTCATGCTGACAATTATGCTGGCTACTTTTGATGATATTCTGATGCCTTCACTTTGATTTTAGCTATTTATCATGTTATGGCACATTATTTTGGATATGTTTATATCCTTCTGCCTTTGTAGCGAACAGTAGGCAGGATAGACAATACTTTTCCACTTTATCCTCACAACAAATCTGTGAAATGGGTCAAGAGAGGGAAAAATACTAGCGCAAGGAAATTCCATGGCTCAGTGATGACCTGAAACTGGATACTCAGCTCCCAGGCAACATACATATATAGTCTGTATGTTGCTTTATTTCTTATTAAGTGTACTCAAACATTATAGATAAAACTGGCATAACACCCGAAAAAGGCATAATGAAACAAGGGAAACAACCTGGGAGACCTTGTTGTGTTGCTGTTCCTGGCATTATGAGTTATTGAAGAATCTACTTTAATATAGAAGTCGTTATTTTGGAAGTTGGATTTTTTTTTACTACCACTGATATTGGACTCAAGACCTTTCATAGCTCCAGGACTTATTAGGACTTGCTGTTTCTATATGCTTTTCTTTATACCTGTAACTTATTTGTAAATAGTATATCCTTAGTTGAATTATGAGAAATGCACTTTTCCTGCTGTGAATTTTGAAGTCTTCTTGACATAGTAATACAGCATGAAGTAACTTACTCTGAGATAGAGTTTGCGAGTCACACGCATACATTGTTTTGTTGGTTGTTGCCATAGATATCTGTGCATTACACACACTGACAACTTTAATCAACACACTAACTCTGTTTCTTAAGAGATTCAGTGTGATTGAATCTTTCAGTTTGTTTTTAAAAATGCATATACAATTTTAAAATCCACATGTTTTACTTTTGTGGATTTGATTATTTGTGGATTTGATTAATATGGCCTCACTAGTAGGCCTGGGTAACAACGGAAAAATTTGTTTCTAAAATCGATTTGTAATTGGGGTTTTTTTTTGTTTCGATATTTAAAATAATTACAAAATTTTCCCTTAAAAAAGTTCGGTATTTACGAAATTTCGTAAATATTTACGAATCGATTCGTTAAGATGGCGCCCGCGTTGGCGCATGCGCAAAGTATTTACGAAATTTCGTTATTTGTATACATTGCTAATAACGAATCGATTCGTTAAGATGGCGCACCGCGTTAGCGCATGCGCAAAAGGCATTTACGAAATTTCGTTATTCGTGCTAATTGCACTGTATTATATTATATATAGCACTTTGTGTTGGCAAAAGGAGCGCACTGGTTGGAACTACACAAATAATGAGCGAGCACTGTATTATATAGCACTTTGTGTTGGCAAAAGGAGCGCACTGGTTGGAACTACACAAATGACAAACGCACACACAGGCACACAAGATTCTTTCCTTTTTTTAGAATATTTTTTTGATTTTTTTTAAGAATAAAAGAAAGGTATTTTTCAAAAATATTTAAAAATGGAAACTTAACAAAATGCTCTCCCCGCTGTGTAGCCAGGAGTCACAAGACAGGGGGAAACACACACACAGGCTCACAAGATTCTTTCCTTTTTTTAGAATATTTTTTGATTTTTTTAAGAATAAAAGAAAGGTATTTTTCAAAAATATTTAAAAATGGAAAATTAACAAATTAACAAAAACCGCCCTCGCTCTCCCAACAACAGAATTAAGGAATTAAGGAATCAATGCAAGGAAATCCAGCTTAGCCAGCCAACCAAGCCAATGCAAGCCAATGCAAGCCAATGCAAGCCGCCCTCCCGGACCTCCCTTCTCCCTCGCCTCCGCAACAATGAGCAAAGCGGCCACGCGGAGCCGCTTTTAAAGGGCTTCCCAGCCAATCAAAATCAGCCACAGTGCACTGCTTGGGTGCTTGGGAGCGCCGGATTGGCTCCTAGGCACCAGCATCCTCCATCCCATTTCCGAAACGGGCGGAAGCTCGTAAAAAGGATGGAGGATGCCGTTTCGTTATTGAAAAACCCTTCCGGGTTTGAAAAAATGTTTTGTATTCATTTCGTAATTGCTAAAAATAACGAATATTTAACGAAATACAAAATTAACGAACGAAACAGCCCAGGCCTACTCACTAGGAGTCTCTAGGTCCTCCAGTGCAACTTCTGATGGAAATTAACACTAGAGTTCTGCCAGAAGACCTGGAGATTCCTACAGAGAACAGCTCTTCAGTAATCTCTCTGTTCTCTATCACACTTCTATGAAAGTTGACCATAAAGTTACATTGAAGTACCTAAGATTTCTAGAGAGCTGTTCTCTCAAATTCAAAAAAGTGTTTTTATTTGGTTCCCCACCCACTTTTATGAGGGAAAGAGAAAGGTCTAATGTTTTATCTAGAGTTAGGATAAGACATGGATTTTGGACCGAAATCGCAGTTACCTTTTTCCGAAAGAATTTACTTAAGGGTGTGGGTGTTGATTGAGACCTCTCTTTTGTCACCTCTTTTGGAGCCTCGTTAGTGATCACCACTGTTGCTGTTGCTTGTTGCTGAACTGGAGGTTCAGGGGCTTTTATGTTCTGCTTTGCTGCTAAATTTTCCTGTGGTGGAGGAATGTTTATTTCTGTTTTCACGATAGGTGTGGTGGTTGCAGGTTGCTCAGTAATCTAAAAGACCCATGAAAAAAGAATAAGTAAACCAAAAGACAAATTTTCAGCAATACCAATGGTAGCATGTACTACACGTAATGACAAAAATACAGTTCAAGCACACCCATAGAACAGGTACAGACTATCTGGGTTGGAAAGAATCTTCCAAAAAGATGTTTAAAAATGAATGAATGTCATCTTATAGTCTAATGGGAATCTTTAGAGTTCAAAATTATTTCTGTGCAAAATTTATAAGGTTTTACGGTGCAGAAAATAATATTTCTTCATAGAAATGCTATTTTTTGAGCACACAAAATATTTTCTGCACAGAAATTGCTGTTTTCCATTTAAAAAGCTGAATAAGCCCTGAATAGGACTACACAGTTTTCAAAGATTTTTTCACAGCAGGAAGTAAATTGTTAAAATTGTTTTCTTTGAGAATGGAACTTTGCAAATAATTACATTGCTACAGGCAACAGTTTTGAATATTCACACAAAGTCCAGGAATATATCTCCCATGGATATGGGGAAGTGGGTCATACTGTAGAAATCAAGCATAGCAATAAATACATCTTGAAAACAATTCAGTCTACAAACTGCAGGGTTTACATGAAATATGTTATAAGAAGCATAAAGATTACATCTCTTGATTCCATTATTTATTAGACCAAAAGTGGTGGCATCCTTACATCAATAAATAAGCAAGGTTGGCATGCAAGCTTTTCAACAGTGTTACTCACTTTGGTATCTTCTGTCTGTTGGGCATCTTTCTTTACCTAAAATGGGGGAAACACATGCCCACAATTCATTTGAGGAAATAGTCATTCCAATACCTTTCGGACTGCCATGGGATTACTTTCAAGGGTCCAATATGAACAAGTTTATACAATCATTTTCCAGTGTGGTTAATCTAATGGAGTCACTTTAGATTGAAGGTTGCATGGTGGTTGATGTTGTATTTATGTCAACAAATACTGAGCCTGCTGATATTGTGAACCAGTCATGTTGGAATCTGAAACTACAAATGTCTTTTAAGCATTCTTGTTAATAATCAAGATGGGAGGAAATACATTTTAAGATAATCTGGAGGAAGTGGTAAGGGAGAACTTTTCCAATAATATTACAACTAGAGTCATCCAACGAAATTAAGTTAAGATTCAGGAAAACCAAAGGACATACTTCTTCACCAAGTGCATTGTCAAACCACCACACAATGTATTGGTGAACACTATCTTTGATAAATTAACAAGGATTTGACAAATTCATGGGAAATAAAGCTTCTAATGGCCACTATTTCTCATGGCTATACATGACCTCCAGTACAATTGCAACAGGCTCCTCAATATCACTTGTGCGGAAACATGACCATGGGATACTGCTGATCTCATGCCATTTTTCTGAGCTTTACAGAGGCATTTGGTTCAGCATGTACGACAGAATGCTGGATTAGATGGGCCTTTGGATAACAAAATCAATATATTGATACTTGCCTAGGCATCATCCAATGAAGATTAAATATCTCCATCTTGTTGGAAAGTATTTTCTACCTTGTAATTATCAAGATGACTTTTCTAGGTCCATTGTGAAGTTATTTGAGTGATCTTATTGAAATAGGATCATTTTTGAACCTATGGTAAGCTTTTAAAATTTCTACCATGAATTTCTCATATAAATTTGTGAAAACCTTGTGTAATCCCAATGCAGTAATGCAATCTATTATTATCTATGCTACTTCAGGGATAACAGCTTTCAGTTAGTATTTAACAAAAATGCATGAAAAAACAATTACAAAACAAATGTAGGTAAGTTGACACAGTATTATCTTTGGGAAGGGAAACAGATAATGACATTGACTTTAAGAATTATGAAATATGACAAAGGAAGGAATGTGGATTACTGTTGCTTCCTACTCTATTTTTTTTTTTTTAAAAAAAAAAAAACCTCAATGATGTCTTCTCATCCCAGTGGTATGTGATACAAGGAGACTGACTGACCGGTGGTTCACTTCTCCATTCTATTTTATAGCGTTCAACGTGGACAGAAACATTTCCCTCTCTCCTGAGTTACATGCCTTTCCGATCTATGTGTATGCATAATTGTGTAGGGTAAATGTATGTTAAATTGCACATGAACCAGGCAATTTGTAGGACTTCCTGGTTCATGTTCAATTTAAAATTAGGAATCATAAGAGTGGGAGTGGGGGGAGAGATTTGAGGTTAGCCATCAATAGTGGGACCAGATCCATCTCATCTTGGAGGCAAAGAAGGATCCACCCTGGTTAGTACTTGGTTGGGAAACTGCAAACAAATACTAGGTGATGCAAGCTATATTTCAGAGGAAGGATCTGACAAACCCTCCTTTGATTATTATTCCTTGCTAATAAAACTCAATGGAATAAATGAGTTTGCTGTGATTCAATAGATGACATGAAGGCAAGCACACACACATCATAATCATCATCAGTAGCAGCACTTAGGTCCTCTTTTTCTGGTGTTGTGCAGGAGAAGACAAATATGAGTCATTGCATAACATGTGGAGCTGCCCCTACCCAAACTACCATCTTTTGATCATAATTATATGAACTAAATCCAGCAATGCTACAATATATACAAAAAAAGGCAAGTGAGTAAGAGCCATCCTCTTCACACCAATGGCAAGGAATTCTCTGTAGGTATCAAATGTCCGAGGAGCCATGCAGTCATGCCGGCCACATGACCTCTACGGACAACGAAGGCTCTTCGGCTTAGAAATGGAGATGAGCACCATACCCCAGAGTTGGAAACAACTGGACTTAATGTCAGGGAAAAACCTTTACCTTTACCTATCAAATGTCGGGGATAGATATGAAGCCATTTGGCTGGCAACGCTTACAAACAACATTCTGGGCTAGATGCTGATGAATCATGATTGGTTGTATGTCATTGTCCACACACAATCCTCACTAGCATGAAATCTATCTGGAGCCCAAGTCAGCTGTTGAGAGCCTATTTAGACATGAAGAGAAGTTGATCAACACTATTACTCTTTACATCATCTGGAATCCTGACTCTTGTCTGTCAGCCATTCTTATACTAACAATCTACATTGGTCCTAATAATATCTACTTTGACCTATTTTCAGTCATTTCTTTACAGGTGTGGTTATGACCTTAGGTACAGTCGAAAATCCCCTTGGTTACTCATATGGGTGTGAATAGGGTTTTTAGCAGCAAAAGTACTTCAATCGGCATTGCATATGGAGGTATCTAATACTTTATTGTGCAATTGTTGTGCCTGCCTATACAATACAGTTAGGCATTGTCAGGTACAGAAAATCTACACTGATCTTGGAGGACTATCCTACTCGGACAACAAGGGATAGCCTAAGTAAGTAAGTACAGAGAGTTTTCATACTCCTGGACATCTGCATAAGCATACTGATGGGGCTTTATATTCTGCCACTACTAAATAAAATCTTTTTAAAAACAAACAAACAAACAAACAGAACATCTGTTTTTATTGCTTATGACAGATGAATTCAGGGTGCGCTCTGTGGCTGAGAAGGAATCACAGAGAGAGACTCTACACACTTAGATGCAGCCGTGTATAGAGATAACCTCAATATTTACCTAAGCTTAGTCAGTTGTGCAATTACTTTGAAATAATGTACAATGTCTACTGAGTAATTTCAAAAACAGGATATTCATTTAAGTAACTGCTTATTGAACACTTATATATCATTTTCCCCAAAGATTAAAAAGTGTTCCAAATTCAAATGAAAGAAAATTTATTCTTCATATCAGAAGTGAACTGAGGGAACTCATGTAATGTATCTAAAAACACAAACAAACTTTCAAAACTTGACATTATACTAAATGTCCTTTGACCAGTAGCTGGCCACTTGCAGTGCCTCTAGTGTTGCTAGAAGGAGGTCCTCCATTGCGCATGTGACAGGGCTCAGACTCTATTGTAATAGGTGGTCTGTGGTTTACACAAAGAAATAAAGCAATCTGTCTATGTTCTTTCTATCTTATCTAATACTTTTGGAAGAGTAAAAATCAATATATTCATATAGAGAAAGGCTATGAAGGTATGAGGAGGAATTGCTGTCTCCATTATGGTAATAACTTTTTCAACACATCTATTTTAAAATCATTTGTCAATTTCTTAGGCAATATCTGCATTCTAATAGAGTATTTCCATTCTATTTAACTTGGAATTCATTGCTCCATTGAAATCATCACTCCCCAGATTTTCCTTCTATAAATCCACCAATTACTTTTGTCAGCTTTTTAGAGAACAATGTCAATGCGTATTAAATACAATATGCAAAATAGTTTTTCGATAACTATATATAATACCTTTCTAGAACACAAGTGTAACATTCCTATCTCAAAAATTCTGCCATAAGAATATACTATGAAAAAGAAAGCCACATCAAATAGTACCAAAGGGTTCTTCATCATGTCTTTCTTCAGGAAGAAATTAATCAATATGTTGGAAATTTAGATTTTATAACAGTCAAACTTTCTATTTTAAGCATGAAATGCCCATGCTGAAATAGTCTTTCCTTCTACAAACCTTTTGAAGGGTTCCAAGTCTTTCCCAAACTCTGAAGGTTCTTTTGACTGAAGGTATCCTATCAGAATGTCCATCTCAGACACCTCCTCCACTTTCACAATCCATTCCTCCAATTGTAAATTGGTGTTTCCTCCAATTTATAAGTTTGTGCATAAATCTCGCAGCGGTTGTCATCAGGGTGAAGAGTTGGACATATGACTTCAAAAATGACCTGTTTTTCCTAGTAGGAATGCCTCTGGGTTCATGGGTATTTTTAGCTTTAGTACTTTTTCAATTGTTTTTATGATCTGAATCCAAAAGTTTTTTGCCTTCTTGCAAAACCACTACATAGGGAAAAATGATCCTGTTGCTTGTTTGCATTTCCAACAAGTGTTTTTCAATTATGGCTGCATTTTGGCTTTTTAACAGGTGTCACAGAAATTTTCCAGAAGTGAATTTTTACTCTCCAGAGATATTCCCATTAATCTAAGCTGATCTAACAACCAATGTTTTTGGCCCATTTTACCATACATTCCTTGACATATTCATCTTTTGTGTGTAATTTTAGCAAGAGATTGTTGAACATAGATAGTTTTTTTTATTTCTTAATTGCAGTATCTTGTCAAGATCTGTCTTTCCTTCTTCAAATCCCGTCTGTACATCTTTTTGGTTGACGCATTTATGCATATTCAAATCAGTTCAGGTTGTAGTCTTGTTGGTTTATTTCTATAATTGTTTTCAGTTGGAGGTTGCCTCATCTTTTCTTGAGTATTTCCACATATGTTGGCCATCTTATACTATCCTTGAAATTTCCACTTTGTTTGAAGGCTTCCCGAATCAAAGTCCATTGTGGTATTTTTGTATACTTTTTTCTTTTATGCTTTTTCCAAGTTTTCATCAGGATTTTCCTAATTGGGTGTTTGTTTAAAGTTTGGATCTTCTGCCACTTTTCCATAAATTAAGTATGCATGTAAGCCAAATTATAAATTTTCTCCTTCAAGAGTTATGAGGTTTTGATTGTCAAGATGGATCCATTCTTTTAGCCAATTCTATATAGTTGCTTTCCTGTATAATTTTAGGTTTGGGAGAGACAGGCCTCCACTTTATTTACTACCTTGTACATTTTTCTCTTTATTCTTGGTTACTTTCCTTTATTCTTGGTTACTTTCTTGGTTACTCCAAATAAATTTTGTAAGTTGAGCATTCCAATTTGTAAATTCTTTTTCCTTGATATCAGCTGGGATATTCTGGAACAAGAAGCATAATCTGAGTAGAGTGTTCATTTTTATTGTGGCTACCCATCCTAGGAGAGATCTCCACATTCATCCATTTTTTCAGGTCATTTTTTAATTTTATTCCAGGTTTTTTCATAGTTGTTTTTATATGGATCCTTGTTATTCATTGTTATGTTTATTCCTAAATATTTTGCTTGGAGAGTTGTTTTGATTCCTATTTCTTGTCTTAGTTCTTTATCTTTGTTGTTTAACTTTGTCACTAATATTTTTTGCATAGATTGATTGAAAGCCCTGCAACTAATCCAAATTGATTAACCAGGCATATCATTTTAGGAAATTTCTTCAGTGGATCTTCTTTCCATTACTACAGCGGGCACTCATTTTATTCCTAATTATTACAACCTGGCCATGGTTACAGTAATTTACCACTGTGGTTAGAGGATCACAGCTTGAGGCTGAATTGATGTTTTTATATGTCCATGTGTTTTATTTTATTGTATTTTATATTGTGTTCAATTTTATGTTTGTTTTTAGGCCTCTTGTGCCATTTGTAAGCCAACCCGAGTTGTTCTTTGTTGTTGCTGTTGCTATTATTATTATTATTATTATTATTTTGACAATATCATCCAGAAATAACTTTATTTTATATTTTTGGCTTTTTACTATTATTCCTATTAGGTCTTCATTTCTAGGATTTCTATTGCAAGAATAAATCCTAGAACTGGAAACATTTTGGTCACATCTCCATTAATTTTAATTTCAGCTCTTTGCTCTGTGTATATGGCTTGTATTCCATTAATAAATTTGTCATCGTATTTTAGGTTCTTTAGTAGTTCTATGTTGAAATTCCAGTTTAGTCTGTCAAAGGCCTTTTCAGCATCCAATAATAAAAATCCCCCTTTTAACGTTTGCATTCTGAATGTTTCAATTATATTTGCATTATCTTTAATTTGCCTTCTGGGTAGAAAGCCTGCTTGATCAGATTTGCTCCAATTGCTCAGTGCTGTTTTTAGTCTATTTGCCAATATTGGTGTGAATATTTTATAGTCTGTATTTAGCAATGTGATGGGTTTGTAATTTGGAACCAGTTTTTCATCTTGATTTACTTTGGGGATTAGGATAATGCTGGCCTCTTTCCATGTCTCTGGTATTTGATTTGTTTCCAGTACAGAATTCATTATTTTTTGTAGTATTGCTGTTATATCATCTTTCAGCGTCTTGTAAGTATGTTGCCATGCAATCATTTAGGCCTGGGGATTTATCTGTCTTTAAATTCTGAATTGCCTCATCAATTTCCTGTACCATTATTGATCAGTTCAAATGTTCCTGGTCTTATTCAAGGAAGGTTAATATTGTTTGCGTTCTTGTGTATTCTACTACTGCTTCTGTTGGGCCTTATTCATTTTTGTATAGATCTTGGTAAAAGTCTTTAAGATGATGTTTTATCTTTTGTTCTTCTTTAATTTCTTTATCTTTGTATTTCGATGAAATTTTATATTGATTTTGATGTATATTTGATTTATTTGAAATTGTTTGCAATATTTGGTGTGAATAGTGTTTTCACCAGAAAACGTACTTCTATGGGGATTGCACATGGAGGTATACTTTCTTGTGCAACTGTTGTGTTTGCCTGTACAATACAGTTGGGTACTGTCAGTTACAGAAAAATATACTGGTGCAGGCCTGTAGCCAGGATTTCGTTTCCGGGGGGGGCTGAATTTTTTTCAGGGGGGGGGCTGAGTTTCAGGTGGGCTGAGTCTGAGTGAAAGAGGGTCTACCCTAGCAAACCTTTTGTATCATTACCCCAATACCCCCATGCATATGGGATATATTGAGTATGGTGATCAGATCATGATATGAATAAACATAACAGTTTCAGTAATGCACCAGTAAGGCCTTTTCGCGAACCATCATGAGAATTTTGGGGAGGGTGGCTGAAGCCCCCCGAGCCCCCCCCCCTGGCTACATGCCTGTACTGGTGGGGCTTTATGCTCTGCCACCACTAAATAAAATCTTAAATGTAAACTTTTTTCTTGACCATAAAGGAGATTGACTTTTCTTGGCAGCAAAAGTATCCCACAGTGATGATGGTTACAGCTTATTCCTCTTTGGGAATGTGTATGTTTTTTTCTTTTCAAAAAACAAACCAATTTATTTATTTCTCAGCAATATTCAAAATAAATATACATATTATTATGTAAACCTCCTACATCCACAAATTCCATGTGGGCACAAGAGTAAAATTCTTGTACTCAAAAATCAATTTCTTTTTCCATACATGGCTTAAGGGTCTTTTGTCTCTATGCATTCCTCAGGCCATAATGCATCATTATTTCCCTCTAGTTCTCCACTTAGCAATGAAAAAAATATTGACATAACATGTAAATTTAAGGAGGTTATGGCTAGCATTATATATATTTATTCCAATGCTATAATCAAAATTCAGTACTCCAAAATAAAGGATGCATTCATTCTAGTTCTTTACTGCTGATTTACCACAGGAGGATCTGCTCCATAGAAACCTATGTGAGTTCCATAATCAGCACTATGGATTCTGTATATAATTGTCTTCAAATTTGGGGAGTATGTGTTTCTTTTGCTGGGGATATTTAAATAGATATTGATTGCCCATTGAAATGATGTGGGGGAAAGTAGATCCATTGAAGATGACTTCCAGTTCTAAAATGCTATGGTATTATGACAGTCCATTGTCAGGTGTTTTGCTGTTGGATAAAACATCTGTCATTTACTGAAAGTTATTCAATATGTTAGGGAGAAAAAAAACTTACTATGAACACTCCAGAAGTAAAGTACTACTTAAATTTTTCTGGAAGAAAAAGGTTCAAAAGCAGCCCACCCCCATATTCTTTTGGAGAAAGCAATAGGGAATTCTTGAAAATGTGGCAGCAAAATATTACAAAAATATGTTTTATTGATTGGATCAATGCAGCTGAGTATGTTTAGCCTACAGAAGAGAAGGCTGAGAAGAGACATGATAGCCATGCATAAATATGTGAAAAGATGTCATAAGGAAGGGGGAGCAGGCTTGTGTTCTGCTGCCCTGGAAACTAGGACTTGGAGCAATGGGTTAAAATTACAGGAAAGGAGATTGCACCTGAACTTTAGGAAGAACCTCCTGTGTGTAAGAGGAGTTCAGCAGTGGAATTCTCTGCCTCGAAGTGTGGTGGAAGCTTCTTTTTTGGAAGCTTTTAAACAGAGGCTGGATGACCATCTGTCAGGGGTACTTTGATTGTGCTTTTCCTGCTGCTGGCAGGGGGTTGGACTAGATGGCCAGCTGTTATTCTATGATTCTAATTTAAGATCCTTGTAAATGTTCTTACACTGGCAAGCACTCAATCTGTTGCCTGTTCAAGATCAATACACGAACAAATCACAGACATGGACTACTAAAGAGATTATCAAGAACAAATTTGTGCTCTACTTCTTTTTTGGGGAGTAAGCATTATTCAAAACTATCTGCTGGGTGGGTAGAAACACCAGAAAGAAAGAGAATCATGGCTTGACACTATTCCTCCAGATAGACCTTCTAGACTTCATGGCTTGTCCTTGAGTTACAGGGTCTCAATACTTTTCTGCAGTCCTCAGTATGAAGTGGAGGAATCTCAGGATATGGGCCTTGTCACATCATATTTGCAATATCTGCATCTCCTTTCTCTGCCATGACATCACAAGGATGTTTCCCTAGATTTTAGATTTTTGTGTTGAAATTTTAGAACTTGGGACCGTCCTGACTTTCCAATCATATTTCCACTTCTTCTGCAATGTGAAGATAATTATTGTAATGCATTCATTTTTGTAAAGATGATCAAGAAGCAACATGCAGAATTCTTTGTCCATTTTGAATGCATTGTCTAGTCTTACAAAGAACATTTTAATAAACTTAATTGTCACATCGAAATTTCTGATTAATGGTAACATGTGTTTTGTTAGTCACACAGAGGCTTGTTATAATGCACAGGACATGGTTGTTATGTTGTTATCAATGGGACTCTTTCAAAGTTTCGCTGAACCCTGAATTCACAGAAGTTACTCGAGGGACTCCAAAATTGAGGTCCTAGCCTCATCTGGCTTTTGCTGGAGGGTGAGTATTAAAATAGATTTTGATCTCTATACATCCTGATAATTACAGTTTTCCATCCTGGATTAACCTTCTTAAATATCATCTGTTGCTATTCAGGGTTCAGTTCTACATGTTGCTGTACCAACCTTATGCCTAAACAGTTTGCTAAATGTGTTGTGTCCTAATCTGGGACTTTCTGGCTTCTTTTTCTTCGGACTTTTCTTAGGGGAGTCAGCTGCTTTCTTCTCAGGAACCTGCCCACCGGGACATGTTTGGGAACCCTTTTTACGAGTAACATCAACATCAGTTAAAATTCAGTCTTCCCTGAATGCTCCAGTTTCCTTTGGCTCACAACATATAGCAACAAAATAGTATAATAGAAGAGTGGAGGAAAATTACTTTTAGGGACCAAAATTACATTTTTCAAATGTTTTTTTTTGGGGGGGGGGGTTCTGGGAACCATGGTTCAAAAAGTAACATTTCTACACTTGGTAAAGTAGTACTCAAATATTTGCATGGACCCTGCCATGCCTAGAGAATTCTGCAATTCTGCTTTTGGTTCCCTCAAACAATATAAAATTTAGCTGGAAATTCATAATATAGTCTGTTTAGTATAATTTTTACTATAAGAAGCACAACTGCACATATCAACAGTTGCATATGCACTATTTTGATGATGCGTCCTTAAGGAAGATTTTAGGCTTATTAGAACTGACTCATCTGTTGAGGAAGTACTACATATTTTCCATCAGATGGCAACACATTCTTTGGACATGGTCTAAAGCACACATTGAGCTCATGTGATGAAACATAGCCCTGAATGAACACAATCTAGAACACATAGTTCTGTGACCCAATTGCAGTGGAAGACCAATTACATTTGGCAAGCTCTTTTTCGTGGAATTTATTCTACCATTCCACCAATCAAGAAATCATTGATAAAAATTTAAGAAACACCAGGTTTCCCCAAAGCACATTTAAAATGATTGTTGCACTAAAAATCTATTTATTTAAAGAGAAGTGTAATAATTCATAGTGCTGGCCTTGAGTTTTAAAGCCACGGATAGTGTGGGACCAGGGTATTTGACATAATACTGCCCTTCATTCAACACTGCCTTTACATGAAGATCCGTTTGAAGGCCCCTATATCTCATGGCCAAAATCATAAATGCCATGCCACAACCCACCTTAAAAGCCAATAGCCATATAAAATGAAGTCTGTCCCACTGCCAATCAGAGAGAAAGCTATAGGAAAACACCACTTCCAAACCTCCTCCAGCCCAGTGATTCAGCCAAAATGCCATTTAGATCAATGGTAGTCCTAAGTAATTTACAACATCCCAGGGATCAGAAAAGTTTCAAGTCAACAGTCTTTGGCCATGTCAACCAAATAGAACTGCACATTTCATATTTTTATATATATCGAATATAGATGGGCATGGCATTTAAGAATGCCAGGCTTTCAGAAAAACGGACATTCAGACTCACTCTGCGCACACCCTACATGAAACCCAATTAATTTTTGGTAAATGTAAAGGTAAACAAATTCAGATCTCTTTGTTTGGACCCTCAATTTTTAAAAACCTTTTAATATCAAGAAGTACAGTGAATGGAAAGAAAACGATGTGTGCATAACAGCAATTGCTAGCAATCAGCCCTGTAGGACAGAAACAAACTGTGGTCTGCCAACTCAACTCTGGTCTTTTGGTCTACAAGCTCAATACTATTTCTCATACTTCTCTCACAAAGCAAGCTTCTAACCAAGACAAGTATTTCTTTCATTCCTAGACCCTGTACCATCCACACTGAGGCAAGAGAGTCTACTCCAAATTATAATGCTGAGTCAATGTGGATTTCAGCTCTTCCAAGCCACTGGTTCTTATCCCATGGAGCTAAGAGGTGGCTTTAGGAAAGCACATTAGCCTTGCACTACAGCAGAATGCACAAAAACGTTATTGCTAAAAATAAACATTATACTGGTTTTGGCAGGTACTATATGGGCTTTGTTTGTCATAAATTACTGGATGGCTCCAATAGGATATGCAAATTTCACTGGAAAATTACAAAGGTATACTGTATCTATTTCCATAGTGGCTGGTGGTTCCCATGTCAATCCATTTCTGATTTTAGACTAAATATTACCAGAGTTGTTCAGGGTGCTGAACCTATTTTGTTGATTCAGTACCTTGGAAATATCATTGAAATTTTAGTCTAAAGTCTGGAATGGATGCATCGCCCCACTGAAATGGAGTCCCACACATGGTCTTCTTATCTCCCAATTATCTCCAAGAAGTCTTAGTCTATAGAAGCCAACATTCTACATTTGTAGTACATTTCAACATAAATGGCTCGGAAAAAAAGAACATGGACCCTACCCTTTGACTCATAAGAATACCTTGCTCTACATCAGTGGTTCTCAACATAAGGGTCCCCAGGGGTTTTGGTCTACAACTCCCAGAAATCCCAGCCAGTTTACCAACTGTTAGGATTTCTGGGAGTTGAAGGCCAAAACATCTGGCGACCCACAGGTTGAGAGCCACTGTCCTACATGAAAGAAAAAACAACAACATATGATTCTGCCTTATATCACGTCAAATCCTTTATCCGTTTAGTCTAAGTCTGTCCCATAAATAGAAACACAGATTATTACATGTTTGAAATTTAATGTTGCATTTTTTCTATCAGATTTTAGATGTAATTTGTACTTTTGTCTGCTGCTCCACAGTTGCCAAATAACAATAATGGTGCCTATCTTATTGCGAAGTTGGATGCTCCTGGCTCCCAAGTCACATAGTTTTCCACAGTTAACCTACGTGTTTGACACTTCTCAATGAACACAGGGATTAAGAAATATAGTAGGGATTTAAATGAACAAGCAGCAAAAGTCCTTTTGCATCTTACACAGAAAATCCAATCCAAACCAAACCAAAATAAAATACTAAAATTAACAACATTAATTGTATGCCGAACTGTGGCTAATGTTCCTTCCTCATGGATCTCAGCCCATGCATACTGTTTAGAGTTCCTTGAAGGAAAAGTGAGATCATAACACAGTGAATGAAATAATAAAAAAATCACAATAATACAACAGGGAAGTCCTTAATATTGACTAATGAGTGCTAACTCAAATGCAGGGCTTTTTAATGTAGGCCAAAATATGTGAACCAGCTCTCAAGCTATTCTTAAGATAATAAAATAAAACAAAACAAAAAGAGTGCCCACAACAACCAGAATTTGTCAGGAGAAAATAAAATACGCACCTTATCCTCAGAGTCAGCCTTGGAACCTGTTTTTCTTTGAGAAACCTTTAAGTGAAACAAACAAAAACACCAATTCATGAAATATGAATTATTTAGTTTTTAAAATGAAACCGTGCATGATTATTGCCTTATAAGTAGAAGGTAAATATTAGGGGTGTAAATTTAAATCTAAAAAAATTGACCAAGGGTGGACAATTTTTAAAATACAGATATACCCTGTAATTAAGGATCAAAAATAACTTCCTAACTTTAAACTAATACAAGGCTAGAACAGGTTACCTGTAGAACAAGTTGGACAAACACTTGTCAGCCTGAAAATCACAAGTAATCGAAACCATAAAAATTGAAAATACTTAATTAAATATCAGATAGAATTATATATAGAATAATATGGAATGACTGTTAATTGTGCTGTGTGCACTCTAGTTAAGCATATTGCGTAAGGCTTTTGTGGCATGCAAAATAATGCAAAGCCAGTTTCACAAAAAACAATGAATAATAACAATCAGTATCAACAGTAACAAAATAATACTGTCCACAATACTCTTGAAAATGCTCTTATATATTAAGCCTTAGATACATCAGAAATCAGAATTTATTTTACTTCTAAAAATCAAATAGTTACTATTATACGTCCTCAAACATAATTTCAATCATTCTGATGCTTTAAAGATACTTTATTTTCATGTTATCAAAAAGAAAATTCAATATTCTAATTTTTCTAGTTTTTAAAAGGCCATTAGAACACTACATGTAACTGGCCCATAGTACAAAAAAAAAACCCCTATATAGTAATGCCTGTAACTATATAAGTAAGTCAAATAAGTTATAGGTGTACAACAAAGGAGTGATGTTATCTCCAGTTATGTCATAATTATAAAGTAACTCAGTTAATTTGTTTCAGAGCACAGGTCTCAAAAAGGCAGAGTAAATGATAAGCAAATAAATATGTCTTAGTTTTTGTAATTAGCAAAGATAATTGTTTTTGTAACTAGTTATTTCCAAGCTATGTAAATGTTGTATGAGGGCAGGAGATTAACATCAGTGGTCCTTTGCACCTCCTTCACATTTATGGATTCGAGAGAGCCAAAATACTGAACACAAAATGACAAACATCCAACATAAATGTATAAAGAAAATGTTATAGCATGATCCTATATATACCTACTTTGTTGTAAACACATAGACTGCAGTGAGATTTACTAACAAGGAAATATATATAGGATACCAGTCTTCACCATGGCTAACAACTAAAATGGAATCATGAAGTTCCAAAGCACTATCATTTTAGATTCTAGATGCTATGGAGGGGAAGAGTCAGAAAATGCCACTGCCTTCACCATCTTTGTGTACTACCAAAAAAGCACCAAGCTAACAACTGTTGGAAACATAAACTTTAAGATATCCTTACTCCAGACTTGAAATAAGATACATTAAATCAATGGGGTTTATCTACTTGTTCACTCAACATTCAGTCTGTGATTAAGTGGGTTAACTCTAGTTTAGAGCAGCCAATAAGAAAGATGGGACTGGAATCAAATTAAATAAATATATTAATGTCATTGTCCTTATACTGACGGATCTATAACATGCTCCAGCAATGTTTTTCTTATATCCCAACACTATCTGAAATAAAGACCTTAAGTAAAACTACAACTCCCATAATTCCATAGCATTGAGCCAAGGTAGTTAAAGTGATGTCAAACTGTATTTATTTACAGTAGATACACCCTCAGTAGTGCCTACTCTGAGCAAAGATCTTTGGAAATGCCTAACACTTCTCTCATCTCTTTCCGTAACAGTTCTATCATCTTTTTCCATAACAGAGGAACAATTCTCTTTACCAAAACCTTTGGAAGTTATTTTCTTTTTGGACTGCATCTCACAGAATTCTCCAACCAGCATGGGACTTGCAGTCTAACACCCCCTCCCCTGTATTCTTGGTTGTACCTCATTACTGAGAAACGAGAAATAACGGCTCCAGCGTTCACAGCTTTTGACTCAAATATATCCCTCAGATGCACAAGAGGGTTGCTCTCTTTTCAAAGGGTTCTCTTAAACCAAGGCAGGTCTGAAGCTTTGCCAACAATGCTGATCACTCACTTCACTTTCCTTCCTATGTACTGATGAATGCATGTCACATCTTTCAGTCTGATGCTAAGTGTTATCTACACTAGTATCTGCCCAAATTTCCTAAACACAAATAGAAAAAAGACCTTGACACAAATCTTCCAATACAACCCACATCTGTACAGAAAAAGTGAAAAGTTCTCACCAATTTGTTAAAATAACTCATGACGGGATTGCTGGAGTCTGCCCCGTTGGCTGTCTTCACGTTGTCTGGTTTTACCTCCTCTTGGGCAAGATCCACAGAGGCCAAGCAATTGACATCCGTTGACCCCTGCTGCTGAGCCTTTTGGTTGCTGTCATCTGTCACGTCCTGTATAAAAAGAGAGAACAGTGCTCTCAGTTCTTCACTCCCTTGAATGCCCAGTTAGAAGATGGTAAAAGTAATCTATTTGCCACTTGCATCATGTTGCTCTCTGAGGCACAATTCTAATTCCATCCATATTTCTTCAGCCTACATATCCTGAACAATTGAGCATTGATGCGAGCCGAGTCTAATATATGCAGCATTTGCTGTTGGCTGGGGGAACATTGTTCCGTGCCACAGAGAACAACAAATGCAAGAGGCCAGGTTGCGTATGACACACAAAACAAGTCTCCTCTTCTGTTTGGAACAGCTGAACACTGAATAGCAAGCAACACGTTGCTGTGGTTTTGAACTGTGAAGACTTTGTGTCAGATCACACCATACATAGGGAGCCCCTAGTGCTTAGAAAGATTTGCAAAAAGGAATGCAATGACTTTAGGAGATTTTGGTTTATTTATTAAAATAGATTGAGGAAAAAAGAATTAATGTTGATAAGCTGCATCTCACGTTTGGAACCTCAAGGCCCAGTTCACCAATGGATTTTGGAATTTCAAGTAAACAATTACTTGAAGTTTGGAGAGTTTATTTGTTCAGATCTAGCTAAAAGACATAGAGGGACATGGTTGAATCAAGACATTTAAGAGTTCAGCACACAAAGCCCTCAGATGAATATTTCAGCTTCAGTCTGTTGTTTGCCTTCAAATGTTCCTTACAGAGACCCTTAGGTGGCCCTATCATGGAGTTTTCTTGCCAATATTTCTTCAGAGGAGTTTTGTCTTGACTTTGGGAGGAGAACATAGAAATATAATGTGTTCTCTATGTTATACTCCTATATGGAAAAGCCCTATCTCAAGCCTATCTATTTTCTTCAGGTAAAAGATTGTCTAGTTGTCTAGTCAGTATATGGGAGAGTCCAAGACTTGCCTGCTGTTGAATCTGTGATAATTATTGATGGGCAATTCTCTGTCCTCTACTTTTCCTTCTTATGGCTCTTGGTTTTGAACCAAACACGAACTTGGGAACCCTTCAAATCAAAAAGGTCCTATTTGTACTTCTACTCCTAGAAGCCTCAGGCAATAAGTCCCATGGTAAGGTTTTGTGGGTTGCTAAACATTGGACTCCAGTTCTGCATCTCTTCTTCTTTACAACTATCTCTGTGGATTATCAAAATTGCAGCCTGAGAGGTAGTATTCTGTACAGATATCAAAACTGGAAGTGTATAAAAAGATACTGAAATATTAAATAAAAAATGCTATACTGATCCATTTCTTTATGCATCTCTCTTTAGAATCCAGTATAAAATAAGCTACTGTAAGAGTAGATTGTCATAACACTATGTGGTAATTACATATGTTCTAAATAAACACATATAAAATTTCATCATTTTAGAGATGGTGTAAGATATAAAATCAATTAGGGATTGTTGGATACTTAGACAAAAGAAAGGGAGGAGTGGGCGGACACAGAACAGGTGTCATAACTGGACTTTGGACTATGATCTGCATTCTTTTCTTTATGCCAGTCAGCCATGCAATGAAAAAATGGAAGAAAACACTTTTGTTTTGTTTTGTTTTGCACATCAGTATTTTTGGCACCATTTGAAAGCAAGCTGAAATAAGAACAGAGAGAACCAAGGCATGTACACATGTTAACACAGAGGGAGTGGCATAGAATTTATGGCCAGAGAGAGGCTCCTTAAGTGAAGACAGAGGAAATGTTCCAGTGGTTGGGAAATTTTATACATAAAATTAGGCAAAAGCCTGAATTTTAACAGCAGCAGCAACAACAACAGAAGCTTGTTGAATGTGATTTCATTTAGATCCAGAAAATCCCTAGAAAAATGTATGGTAAATTCCTGCTGGAAATTCCACATTACTAAAGGATTGAATATATTTCTTACAGTTACTAAAGTGCACTTGGACTAAATGAAAGAGAAGATATTATTACATGTCTCAAGTGCTGGCTAATGTTGTGGCTTGTATGTTCTGGAGTGTTGGTTTGCAAGTGATAACAACATGGTGTGTGTTCCTTCAAGGGGTGATTCCACTTAACTTCCAAGATCAGCCAGAATATGGTGTATATGATATTTAGGGCAAGATGCATGTTTTGTGACAGCTTGTATTACAGAGTTACTTCCATAAAACAAGAAACTTAAATATTAGTGTAATCCTGTGTTATATATATATATATATATATATATATATATATATATATATATATCTCACAGGATCTTTCCAATGACAACTGTTATAAAAGTATCTGATTGTTTTTCAAGCTTAAGCCAATAAGTGATGAACAATCACTAATCACAGCGCGTCCTTCTTCATTTCATCAGCTACACATTCGAAAACCCAGTACTCATAAATTCACTTTGGGGCATGAATTCCTGAACTTACAGTGGAAAAAGGAAACTTTCAGTTCTCAGGTAGCTAGCAGAAAAGAGACTAGGGAAACAGCTTTGAAGTAAAAGCTTTAGCTTCTCATGTACCAGAACTTTTTTTTTTTTGCCTTTAAAGCGGATGACTGTTTTTGTTTTTAAGATGTAGGTTCCTCAACATTATATGTAATTTGGTCTCAAATATAACTCAGTACAGTGTCACCATAATTTTATGAACACATCCCATATAAACAACGCTACATTTAAACCACTATGCCATGGAACAGCATGGCATAGTGGTTTAAATGTTGGATTACAACTTTGGAGATCAGGGTTTGAATCCTTGCTTTGCCATGAAAATGCACTGCATGACCCTGAGTAAGCCACACAACTCAGTCCCAGAAATCTCAATGCTAACTTGCCATAGTCAGAACAGACTTGAAGGCACACAATTACAACTTCATCACAGGGGCTTTCAGACTGGTTGTGGGATGCTAAGAGCACAGTTCCTGGATGAAGCCTACATGATACTTTCTCATGATGCAATTACAACTTCCAACGGGGCTCCATCCTCAAACTGTGCTCCCAGTGTCCTATGATGGAGCAATGAGAATACAGGAGGCTTGCTGTGCTCTCATTGTCAGCAACTGGGACAACATGGGGGGAAGGTGGGCAGCTATGCTTTCCCCCATGTGATGGGGAAGACAGCGGTTCAGGGGACCATATCCCCCACTGCCTCACAGATTCACCACAATGCCAAGTGAATCCCTCCACCATCACCCGCGTTAGACACGTAAATATGATGAGTGACATCATTCCATTCTTTCAGCATTTCTGTTCTTTAGAATATTCTATTCTATTCCACTGTGTCATAAAAGTGTTCAACATTTATGAAAAATGCAGCTACCAAAGATAAAGAAATGCAAGATATAGAGACAGAAGGCAATCAAATGCAATGAAGATACAATAAAGTACTAAAACATGCCTTTGAAAAATCCAGGCTGCAAAAAAAGTATTAAAAAGCAATCAAAGTTTTAAAAAGCAACCAAAGCATCCTGCTTCTTGGCAGGGGGTTGGACTGGATGGCCCACGAGGTCTCTTCCAACTCTATCATTCTATGATTCTATGATTAAAAGTTCAGGACCAATGATGAACAACAAATGCCCCTTCCTTGTTTCCCCAAACGTCTTTACACTGCAATGGCAGATTATTATAGTCAGATTAAAATAGGGAATTTCAAAACCTAGATGTGGCCAAAGACTCGGTGAATGAAAACACAAATTGAATGTACAGGGTATTCTTTCCACCACATCAAACCTTTGAATCAGATCTATACAAGGCATATTAACAAGGATGGAAATGTGGATTGATTTTGAGTTCTAGTAAAGTTTCAGTTTCATGACATGGGTTATTTCATTGTTTTTGTGCTCTTGCTCTCCCCAACAGTTTTTGGGTTCACAGAAGATACATCATAAAGAAATATATGCCATCTGCCGGGGGTGCTTTGAATGCAATTTTCCTGCTTCTTGGCAGGGGGTTGGACTGGATGGCCCACAAGGTCTTTTCCAACAATGATTCTATGATTCTATATATGAATTTATTCCACATTTTAAAAATAAAAAGAGGGAGAATATTGCTTTGGTATATTGCTGTGCCTCATTGTGGCATTTTCATTATTCCATTTTGCATAAGAAATGTATAGAGAATGACTTATAAGGGAACATATATTTGAGTGGGACAGCGGTGGGTGTGAAGCTCATATTCTTGATATGTGTGGAATTTTTCATGCATGCAGTTGTAATGCAACAAAAGTACTTTTTAGCTCCAGGCAAAGTTCATAGGAAAAAGAACTCATTCTCTGCCCTGCCTCCAAAGAGTTAAAAGCATCAGTATGGAACTGCAACACTACAAAAGTACTTCTTAGATTCAACAAAATACATAGCAAAAAGATTTCATTTTCCAGCCTGACTCCAAAATGTCTTGTTATAAGAAACATAACATGGTAGTTAAAAGCACAATATAATACCTTTTGTTTTGTTTAAAAAAAAGATCCTACAGTGTGTAAACCCTTGACAAGTTGGAATGTGCCAGAAGTGGGTCACCAAAATGATCCAAGTTCTGGAAGCCAAACCCCATGATCCACGTTTAAATATTTGAAAGGATGCCATACTAAAGAAGAGGCAAGAGTGTTTTCTGCTGCTTTAAAGACCAGAACACATATCAATGGATTCAAAGGGCAGGAAAACAGATTCCACCAAAGTATTAGGTAGAACTTTCTGATGGTACGAGCTGTTTTGACAGGTGAAATACACTGCCTCAGAAGACTAAAAACATTTACGGGATGCTGGTGGCCAACGTTTTTATTCATTGTCTGTTTGCCTTCCTGCTCAGTTTCAGGGCCCATCCTAGTTTCATGTGCCATGTACCCGACAAGAAGAGGTCTTCCAGTACTTGACTAATCACAGTGCAGAGTGGTGACATCATGACAAGACTTTGAGGCAGATGTCTAGAACAAAATAAAGAGTCCCACACCGAATACCCATATATACATTAATGACAGGTTTTGGTGGAAAAATTGGGGATTTTGATATAACCTGTGGATAGATGGAGGGCCATTCTGCAGAGAGGG